AATATTGCAAGTGCTTGCCATTCTTACAGTTACACCGTACCACAACAGCCCAAAGGCCTCCTAACTACCAGAGCAGCTACAACCCCAACTACCAAACAGCCTCAGTACTAAGGAATGTCTAAGTCATTCATTGCTCTCCTTGAATTATAAAAGAGGCTCTAGGCAAGTCACAGAGGACTGGCCATATACTTATATACTCCTTTTACATCAAATGGACTGGCCATATACTTGTATACTCTTTTTACATCAAAAGTTTTGCCTTTTTGTGCCTATGTGTCTTTGAAGTCAACACCAGTGTTTGGGCAGAATTTAGGGGCACTGGCCAAGTTTTCCTACGCTATAATCTGACAAAATGTATTTGCATACAGATGTAGACTAAGATTTTTCTCAAATAGTTTTTTCTTCCAAGGGCTTTTAAATTTGCAGAAGAATTTATACCTAAAATATATATAATAAAGATACTAAATGCAATAGAACAGTTTTGAGAATAGAAATGGAAATGAGTTCACAGTTCTTCCTCAGAACAAACCTGTAACATTTCTGAGATGATCTCTTGCAGTCTGCAAATGATCTACCTTAAATAATTTAGCAGTATCCACTGTTCTCAAAAAATAAATTAAAATAAAATAAATCTTCCCAAAAGCTGAACACAAGCAATTCAGAAAGAGATTACAGGGCTCAGGAAATAAACAATGTGAAGGTGAGTTGGAAACAAAACCTGATGCCACTGCTGTCTGTGACAGAAACGTGATTGGTGGAAGAAGTTTGAAAAGTGGGACTATCTAGGAATTTACTAAAAATACCTTTAGCAATACCATAAATCAAAGCATGCTGGGCTGACTGTCATCAAATAAGCCAGCAGTCATCCCTTCCAATGGGTCTACTGCAGGTGACCAGAGATACCTAAAGCTGCCACTGCAGCATGGGCACCTTTGGGACAGTTCTGGTATGTGCCATACCTGAGCTATCTAAAGCAGTCTCTATCTTCGGTGGTTGCATAAGGAGGGACTCAATGAATGAAAACACTGACCCCTGAGTAACACATGTGCTCCAACATATTGCAGCAGAGCTCCTTGGAGAAAAACGATCTTCCTTCAAAATTCTGTGTGTGTGAAGAATTTCAGTCCTGTTGGATTTTTATTTAACTTGCCTTGAGAGACTGGAACAGAAAAACTGAGCTAATCCTAGAAGGTTTTTTTTATTAGCCCAGTGAATTGCCAGTTTTTAGGCAAGAGCTTAGTGGAATACAATACCATTTCCTGCAACCACCAGGCATAAACTGTTCTCAGTGAGGAATGAATCTGAGCCTCATATATCAGGCAAGACTCTCCTGGCATCAAAGAGTTCACCTAGTCATCCAGACAAACATTTCCTCAGGCTTCACGTTTACATCCCATGTTCTGGCTCCTGCCTTTCTCTATGTTTTAAAATCAATTCTGCATGAATTTTTGTAGCAAGTAACTGCAAGATGACTTGAAAATTAGCAAATACAATTCAGACAGCTTGTAAGTAGAAAGCCACTGTCCTGTGTGCCTCCATCATCTCACACATTTAATCATTGTGCAATATTGTGTGTTACAAAATTAGATTTGTCACCCTAACTGTACGTAATTACACTTAGGAAATGCATGACCAAGAGTTCCAGCAACCCCTAACACAGATTTTGGAAATAAGAGCTACTCTGTTTGTATTTACCATTTCAGTAACTAAATGTGCTTTTCATAGACAGTTTTCTCTTCCATTGGTGCTCTAAATCAGAAGAAGACCTGTCTTGGCATGTGGAACACAAGAATGCATGGACAAGATATTGTACAGTTAACAGGATGTAGGGTTGTTGTGTTTTTTTTTTTTTTTTCTGGGTTCCTAATAGTGCAAATCAAATAAACTTAAATGGAATACACATTCTTATTTCACCTGAAAAAATGGCCACATTGCATGCCTTCTCAAAGAGAGAATTACCCATGCATTTAAAGAGCAGACTGTGGTGTCCTCATAAAAAGACTCTATAGGGATACTGTTTGGATCTCAAAGTCACTTTGAAACAGCTGTGCCAGTGACACATGCTTGTTTTCAGTGCTCCCTCAAAGGAGTTGGGGTTCAGTGCTATGCATGAAATACTCGTGTATCTTCATCAAGTAGAAGATTTATGAGTCTGCCATATGTCATGATAAACACTGTCATTTTGTTGTTGTTATTTTTGTTTTCCAGAAACATGTAACACCCAGGAATCTCTTTGGTTTCCTCACCTAGGAACTGTTTTTTGCTCTTCTGCATCTTGGAACAATAAGACACACAGAACGGCCAGTTTGCAGGATAGCTTATAGATTTGTTATACTCTCAACTTTACAAAAGAAAGAGCTTGTTCATCTAGTCAGCAAGTGGAGCCCTTTGCTTCCAAAGGATTTGGTCCAGATAATCCTTCAAATAACATCACCTTAGTGTCATTTAATTTATGAGTGTATGTCTCCCTGACATCTATCTGTTTCCAAATATCTTAAATGTGAGAAGACAATGCAATGCCAGAGGCTTATGAAAACACAGAACGGAAATACAACATTTTTAGGACATACGAGCTGCCTGTCAGTGAAGTGAAAGGCACAGCAGTCTGGTCTGTTCACTCGGGCATGACACAGCTTAAAGGACATGTCACAGCTGAAAAGACAGCTTGCCAGGGGCACAGCATAATGCCCAAAATATGACCACCCTAACCAGAAACACTGCACTACAAATATTAAAAAATATTAATTTTGAATTAGACTCAATCTAGGGTAACAAACAGCAAAAGCAGGATATAAGAAGGAGTTAAAAATCAGTTTTAGTGTGTTCCAGTGTTCTGTTGCCCTCAAAGTAATAAAGTTCTTCCTCATGTTTGTACAGAACTTCCTATGTTCCAGCTTTTGCCCATTGCCCCTTGTTCTGTCATTGGCCACCACTGAAGTGTCTGGTCTCATCCACTTGACATTTGCCCTTTAGATCTCTCAGTCTTTCTACATAAAGGAGATGCTCTAGGCCCCTAATAATCTTTGTGGGCCCCCCCCCCCCCCCTGACTTCTTCTAGAAGTCAGTTCCCCATCTTTCTTGAACTGAGGGGCCCAGACTGGACGTAGCAACCCAGATGTGGCCTCACCAGGGCAGAACAGAGGGGAAGGATCGCCTCCTTCAACCTGTTGGCCAAGCTCTTTGTAACGCATTCTGACACAACTGGCCTTCTTGGCCACATACAAGGGCAAACTGCTGGCTCATGGCCAACCTGCTGTCCACCAGAACATGCAGGTCCTTCTCTGCAGAGCTTCTTTCGAGTAGATCAGCCCCTGTACTGATGCATGAAGTTATTCCTCCCCAGTTCTGGGACTCTGAGCTCTGACAGTCCATCACTTCTCAACCCACCTCACTGACCACTCATCTATCCTGCACTTTCTAAGCTTACGTAGGAGGATGTTACGGGAAACAAAAGCCTTGCTGAAATCAAGGTAGAAAACATCCACTGCTCTCCCTTCAGCTACCCAGCCAGCTATGACATCATAGAAGGCTACAAGATCGGTCAGGCTAGATTTTACCTTGGTGAATCCATGCTGACTACTCCTGATAAACTTCTTCCACTTGCTTCAAGAATAAACTTTTCCATCACCTTTCCAGGGATGAAGGTGAGGCTGATAGGCTTGTAGTTTCCCAGCTACTCCTTCCTCTCCTTCTTGAAGACTGGAGTGACAATGGCTTTCCTCTAGCCTTCAGACACTTCTCCCTTTCTCCATAACCTTTCAAAGATGACAGAGATAAGTTTGGCAGTCACTTCTGCCAACTCCCTCAGCACTCACGGGTGCATCCTATCAAGGCCCATGGACTGGTATGTGTTAAATTTGCCTAGACTATCTCTGACTAGATCCTCCCCACTTTAATATGACTCATCATGGACCCTCATTAATTTTTCTTCTCATGCATCAATGAAACCAGCATCCAATATTCAAGGAGGAAAGATGTTTTTCCTCTGTTCATGCAATGAATGGGGATACTCTTTGGAGCATGAAGCCAGTGGTAGACCATCTGAATATGACCTCACTACATCTTTGCTCCTGGCACTGCTTCCATAATTTAAGTATCTGATTTACTGAGAATTACATGTCAATAATAAACAAGTCAGTTCAAAGGACATTTCACTCATTTTAACTTAACAGCAGTTTTTAATAAGTTCTACTTTGCAGCAAGACCTCTCAGCATAACACACAGATCAGGCAGCCAGGGGAAACCCTCATGTAACTGAGGAAGGATGAATCAGCAGCAGCAGGATGAATCAGATGGTAGTTCTGTTCCCATAACACTTAGGCTGACCAAAAATGCTGAATCATGAGTTACATGATACTTCACAGAGGAAGTAAAGAAGGTAAATAATCTTTTAATGACCAATTCAGCAGTAACCATACACAAGCTCTTAAAACAAAATCAATTAACTACTGCCAGTCTACTGTGTTGCTTGATATGACAAGTATTGAAAAAACAATATATTCACTTATATTTCAAGACATTAAAACACTTTAGTTATTAAATATGAATGACTAGGATCAAATACAATCTCTTTGTCTCACATCACATTGAATGACTTCATTGTTTGACACAAAAAAATACTTCCCCTTAAAAGCAAAGAGAGGTAATAAGTATCCTGTCCAGAAATTATGGTGAGATGGAGACCAGCGACCATCCTATTTTTTTTCCACAGCTAAGTTTCAGCAGCCATTTGTTTTTAAAGTATTGGGTGTGACAAAGCAAACTGTAGCATTCCTGTTAGCACATTCAGAGAAAGGCTTGTAAAACAGGGTCCCCATAAAATAAATTGAAACCAGAAGTCAAATAGAAGTTCAACCTACATGTCAGCTAGAAAATACCACTCCTCTTCAGCAAATGCTATCATGCTATGAGGCATACAATATAAATACTTGTGGGAATTAAAGTAGTACAAAAGCTATTCCTCACGCTCTAAAAGTGACAGTCTTAATTCTCTGCCATCATCAACCTTGGTCTTCAAATACACTGGAAAGCACATAAAATATGAGCTGTCAAAGAAGAGAAACACAGCAAAATCTAGATGAAAAGAAATATTTTCATCTAAAGCAAAAAAAAGAACGTATACAGAAAAAGTGTTTTGTTCACAAAACAAAAGATGCAAACATAAGAAAATATATTCCTTTCTTTTGAACACTATCTTATATACCCAGTGCAAACATTCACCCGTGAACAGACTCTTCTCACTTGTGATAACACTTTGCAATTCATCCAACCAGTTTAAAGTTTTCCTGAGGTCCTCTGAGCATTTTTGATTTGTTCATCAACCTAGAAAGACCAGTAGTGTGCCCTTCATTTGGGTCTGCCCCTGAGTGAACTCAGCAAGATGGACTAGGAGTTAATTTGTAAGGAGCTGCAATGGAATGCAGAAATGTTTTCTATGGCACTTGGCTCTGTTCTGAAGTCACATAATGACTCTGCTAATTCTCTGTTATCCCAAGATCATTCTTAAGCTGCTCTAAAATGTCTGAATAGGAATAAGAGCTGGTGCAAAATACAGGTAAAACAGTCACGGAAAATAAGGATCAGGTCCCAGACATATATTGGGAGTGCCCTCCTCAACAAGTCAGTGTGACAAGCTGAGACATAAAGCATGAGGCAGCCAAATAAATGTCAGTGGCCTGAATCCTCTCTACTTAATGCTTCTTCTTATTTTCAATTAAATCCAAACAAATATATATATATGTATATTTTATAAATATAATTTATATTATAAATAAAATTTATTTATTTATTTATTTATTTATTTATTTATTTATTCATAGAGTGTTAGTTACTAAATGCAGCACACAAACTCCTCACTATTTCCAGTCAGGCTTAGGATAATTACACCTTCTGCAGTCCACAATTCACTAGTTAGCTGATAAATTATTGTGCTTTTCACAAAGGAGGAATACTTGCTACAGCCAGCAATATGGAGTAAATAAATAAGTAAATAAAACATCGTAAAATAAGCACAAATGAGCCATGCAGAGAGAGGAACAGAATAAACTTTAAATCCCACCAGTTTTCACATAACTTTAAAGAAGGTAAACCCCATGCAGCAGAGGTACAACTGCCAATATTTTTCCCTTCTGTGTATGCACATCAACAGGGGTTATGTGAAAATCAGGGATAGAGTGTGACTGACTAGTAATTTTTTTAATGACTTAACTTATTTATACAACCTTTTGTATTTGATCAGTTAATATTCATACTGAGTTTTAAGAAAGAATTACTTGCACATGAAAGATCTGTAGAGTCAATCCCAAGCAATTACTCTGCAGTTATATTCAAAGGGCCAAACTGTGATAGAAAATACTGAAACATAGAAAAAAGGAAAATGATACTGTTATTTATCGATAATCCCACTGCAAGTAATTTAAAATACTCCTGCATATACATCTGATTGAGACAGTGTCAAATATCTCTAGGTGGAAATAAGCTCCGTACTTTTCCTAGATATTCTACTTATTTCTGACCTCACTAACTGTATTCATAGTATCTCATCTGCACTTTACACATTCCATATTTATTTAGGATTTATTTGATATTTACTTATTTTAGGATTTGATATAAAACAAACGTGAGAAAAGAATCAAGCTCTTGAATTCTACAAAGAAGAATGGAAATAGGAGTTCATGTGCTAACACTGCGAAGCAGTATGTGTAGAATCATCATAGAATCATAGAATGGCCTTGGGTTGAAAAGGACCACAATGATCATCTAGTTTCAACCCCCTGCCATGTGCAAGGTTGCCAACCACCACACCAGGCTGCCCAGAGCCACATCCAGCCTGGCCTTGAATGCCTCCACGGATGGGGCATCCACAGTCTCCTTGGGCAACCTGTTCCAGTGTGTCACCACCCTGAGGGGGAAATGCAACCTCCTAATATCTAAACTAAACCTCCCCTGTCTCAGTTTAAAACCATTCCCCTTGTCCTATCGCTATACACCCTCATAAACAGCCGTTCCCCTTCCTGTTCAATGCTCCCTTCAAGTACTGGAAGGCCACAATCTGGTCTCCCTGGAGCCTCCTCTTCTCTAAGCTAAACAATCCCAGTTCCCTCAACCTTTCCTCATAGAAGAGGTGCTCCAGCCCTCTGACCATTCACAGTTGCTCCGAAGTAAAGCCCTCTGGATCTTAAGTAAGCTGAACAGACTACTATGATACATACATCATTGAAAAGACTTGACCTCAGCTAGATTCATCCTTAATATCCCAGTTCAGCCGGGTGCTGAACTGTACCCACCTATGCAATTGAGCTGAGGTCAGTTCACACCCAACTTAAATCAGTACTCATTCTGGTGTCTCTTGAGTACTTTCAGACTACAGACGGATTGTTCAGAGCTGCTTCTTCTCTAAGGAAGCTCTTTTATGCCTAGTAGCTGTAACTAAAAGACAAAGTTATGGGTCGTTCTTTTTTTTTTCTAACTTCCCAAAGAAAATCTCCATGGTGCTTAAGACACTGGTGAAGAAAAATGGATGTACCATGGACCTTGGGAGGGAGAGAGTCTATTCCACTTCAGATTTCTTTGCCTTAATGTCTCAGAATATGTTTTTGTTTTCTTTTTGCTGCACTACAAATTGGTAAGATAACCTTCTCCAGTTTTCACAAAATACTTGTTGCACACTGGTCAAAAATCTCAGGCGCTACTCTGCAGGCAAATGCCAGACTCTCACAAAACTCTTTCTTAATCCTATTTGAAAAGCTTATGAATGAGAATGCAGGAAAATAGAGACAAACCTTGCCTTTCCTGCTCAAAACTTCTACTGAAATCATGGAAGGCTTTGCTGGAAAGGGGACTATGTGAGAATTGCCATACCTAGAGGAAACTCTTGATGCAGATGAAGTGCACGCTCACACTTACTAAAATAAAAAACTCACACAGTAAAGTGTACCTGTGTTGAACAACAGAATTTGATCTATAATGCTCCTTTCTTACTTTCTTACTATCTACAGCTTTCATTACTTGCCACACATAACCATTATTTCCCATTTGTTGTCATAAATTCTGTAAAATAACATCTGTTTCTATGCTCCAATCTTGCTGTGTTTCATCTTGCTGTAAGTGAAGTCAATGGCAAGCCTTCAATGACCTTTACAGAAGCACAATTTATGATATCCACTCCAAACTGGGACTCCTCCTTAATTCAGTAAGCTTTGGATCAGACCCAGAAGGGATCTTAGCAGAATCCCAGAGGTAACAAGGCACACCCACATATCCAAACCACACATGAGTGTTCACCTCACATTCCTAATCTTTTACATGAAAGAGATTAAAAAGTAATCTGCTGTTGTCAACTGCTTAGGCACTACACAGTACCTGAATGACAAGCCAGGCACCTCTCATACAGCTATGTACATTGCCCCATTTTCATCTGTTTCATCAGAAGTTAGACAGGGATCAAATCATTGAATTCTAGGCTCCATGGTAATATTTCCTACTTTTTTCCCAACATTCCAATTTAAAAATGCCAGCATCTCTCTCTTCCTAGGAACCATCTCAGTCCTGAACCAGACATGCTGCTCTATGCCCAGCAGACCTGCTAGATGCTCTGTTGGGATGGCAGTACTAGGGGAGAGAAGCCCTTGTCCCTGGGATGTAGAGGTCATGGCCCAATACAGGATTCACAGGATGGGGGCTGGTTGTTTTTGCTCCTACAGAGGAAGGAAAATAGTTCAGCCTCCTGTTTTGGGACAAACCAGCAATTTACCACATAATGAAATAATAGATGAGAAATCTGAAAATGACATTATCCAGACACTTGAGATAAGAACTGTGGCCAGAGCCTCACACAGCCTGCAATGGCTCAAGAAAGAGCACATCCGACTGACTCCAGCATATCTTGTTTACATGCAGCTGATTGTTTGTTTGTGTTCCACAAGTCTGAATATGCTGTGACAGCTTTTGCTCTCCTTTTATGCTGTGTAACCGTATCATTCAGCCTTCCTTCAGATGTCACGGGTGTAACTGACTATCATTTTGGCTCATGCATGTGTTTATAGACCGAGAATTGCCAGAAAGAGAAATGGACTGCATATAACAGGGTGACTTCCAGCTGCTAGAGTCACAGGAATCACATAAGATGGCATTAACTTAGACAGAAGGCAATTGTAATAATGCAAGCCAGCTATCCATTCCAACATGTACACAAGTGCAATGTGAAAATCCCTGTAGCAAGGAAGAGTAGAACATTAACATTCAATCAAAGCAGATGAGGGAAAAGGGAAATAAAAAGGTAAACAATACATATTTAATCATCTTGGGAAAAGAAAGAAACAGCCACTTTCATTTCTGGTTTCAAAACCAGAGGACAAATCTGGCCTAAGTAACCAAAGGGGGATTTTCTTAAAAGCTCAGTTGGACTAACAGCAAAATGATGAGGAATGGTGATCCATAAAGAGCTGGGTCAGTAGCTCATGTAAGTTCGACTGTCCTGTATTTCTGCATTTATCTACCAACCAGAAGAGTGGCTAAATGTTAATCACAGACAAAGAACCTAACAATCACTATTTTAGTTTTGTTCTATTCATCAATTCCATCTTGCTGTGCTGACTCCTAACTCAGAACAGTCTTAGGGAAGCACTAATTAAACTAATGTCTGAAGTCCTGAGCTTTCTTCTATATGTTAAAAAAAATAAATAAATGAGAATAGGTTCTACAAATACACACTCCATTTCCTCTCCCCCAAAGCCTGCCTGCACTTATGGTGAGGATGCAGCTGTGGCTGTTCCATGGTGGGCGAATGTCCCCCCTCAGGCACAATTTCCTCCAGCTTTGTGACCCCATCAGGAGCTCAGCTCCCCTTGCTCACCAGTGAGAAGCCAGATTCATGACCACCATGCTGCTGCTTCTTATTTTATGCTTACAGCCATCTGGGAAGGAGGGAGGTCTGCTACAGGTCACCTCAGGAGTCTTCTAAACAGTGTGGGCTTGAGAAGCTGGTCCCTGACTCCTGCAGGCTGTGCAGCAGCTGTGTCAGAGAACCCTGGGGGTGCTGATGGAGGCTAACTTGTACCAGGGGATCACAGAGCGCAACGCGGCCTCCCTGAACCCTTCCTGGCACACCTTATGCCCATCTGCTTCCCCTCTGCTCCTCTTCCTGGAGAGGAACATATGGCCTGGAATATGGATCTACGCAGCAGAAAATGTATTCTTATCACACTGTAAAATATACTGAATACACACTTTTTTTTTTTTCTTCTCCTATTAGCTTTTAATCTGGTTATGAACCTTATGTTCTGTCTGAATAAATGAAATTTTGAAAAAAATCAGTTCTTGCTTAGCAGTTACGCAGTCCACGATGAAAAACTAAAATAAAAATGTTGTGTATTGCATCTCAATGCTAAGAAACTGCTATTGCAAGAAAATATCCTTGCCAGGACTCTGTTTTTTGTCCGTTCCACCAACATACTTTAATGCTTACCTTAGTCCAATGGAGTTGCATCCAATAAAAAATTAATGACATAAGAAAACAAAGCCATAGTTAAGCATAACACAAACACCTATATCCTGAACGTTTTTAGTCTGGAGTGGTTCAAACTGGAGACAAGCTTCCAGTTTTCCTCACATTTAACAGTACCCCACGTCACAAAGCGAACAATGAAGTCCATGAAGAAGCAAGGCAATCTCTCTTCTAAATAGCAGCACCAAAATCTCACTGTGTGTCTACACAGTCCTGCAAAGGGAAACTTTTCCACTGTTTGTCACTTTCAGTGGTTTGCCTGTTTAAAGACAGCAGTACTGGAACAGGGCTTCAAGAGAACGTTTCCTCATCTGACTGAATATATATATATAACATGCATATTATGTATGTATATATATATAAAATATATATATATTTGTATGTGCAAATATACATACATACATATGTATACATATACATGTGCTTATATACCTATGCTTTAATACTTCAATAAATTAACTCTTGACTGATAAAACACAGTATAAGAGAAAACACTGCAATCCTCGCCCAATATAAAACCATGACAGACAGCAGCTGTTGATGCTGCTCTTTGATTATCTTAACATCTAGCACACCTTTTGAGTCATGGATATCACATCTACAATTACATTACAATGCCTGTAATGAAACAGATATCAACACTGTCATGGATAAATGTGGGCTTAATAGAACATGTTTCTCATAACCAAGTGCATTTCTAAGAAGTAATTGGTGTTCTCTGGACACATTTTTATCTTAGAGTTAACGTGAAGTCCATTAACAATTGCACAGATGTTTCTTTTTACATACAACAAATGCAGCATTTGCCTGAAATCAACTGAAGTCAACAGGAATCCTTCTGCTGATTTCAGTGGGCTTTAGAACAGACTTGGGTGTATTTACTTCATGGTACATAGATGTTTAGATCCTTCTTTTCTCTAAATATTTTAGTGAAACACACGCCAGACACATGAGCGATGACGTAATTTTCTCCTTCTGTGCATTAAACATACTGTTTATCTTACCTTTGCTGCCACAGATGAGTTGGGCTTCTCCAGCAAGTCCCAGAGCTTCTTCCTCTTCTCTGGGCAGCAGGTATTGTCAAACTCTTCCCCTTCTCTCTCTCGCATTGTCTCTGCCTCTCTCCTCAGCTCCTCATTCATCTGTTCTTTCTTTTGATGGTATCTTGCCTGGCAGCAAGACTCTAAATATATCTCATCAATCCCCCAGTAATCAAGCTCCTGGCCAAAAGAAAGAGCACACATTTCTTCCATCATATGTAGTTTCCCTGTCCTGTAGAAATTCAAAATGGAAGTGAAAGCCCCTGGGTGTCGATCAAAAAAATACTCATTTTCATTTAGATTATAGTCATCACATACTTCCAGCAGAGATTCATGAGTATTGCAGTCTCTGAGCTTTCCTAATCGTGTCCTCGGAAGTCTGTCCAAAGTCCTCCACAGCACTTCATGGTTGATCCCACCTACATTTATTTTAACTCTCCGCGAGCAAGCTTTGCTCCTAATGATCTCCACTGGTTCTGGAGGAAGGGAAAGGGTCGACCTTGAAGACTTTTTGTTGATCCCTGGTGGAGCCTTCTCAGCCATTGTAAAAAGGGTGCAGTTGTAATGCCAGTCTTCAGGAGAATGCGCTTGGAGACTGCAAATGTTTGGATAGAGTCCTCTTCAGATGGACTGATCCATTCCTGCAGCTGAAAAAGACAAAAAATTAGAATACTGCAGGGCAGAAAATATTCCCCCAAATGCTCACTATTTCTCCTTCCATACTTTCATGTGAAGATGAAAATACAATGATGGCAATGTGCTTTTTTTACAGTGAGACTCCTTTGTGGTAGTATACAGAACCACTGGAACAACTGGCATGGGTAAGACCACTATGTTTAGGAAAAGAAAAAAAAATAACAGAAATTTGCTTTTGTTAAAATCAGAAGTTTGTACAGAGAATTTGTTCTATCAGTTTCTGATACAGCAATGTCAGCTAAATGTGATTACTTAACAATTAATTTGTGAGGTAGGCTACTAGAAAGACTTTAGGAATATCCGTAAGGAAAAACAAAAAGATGCGGGGCCTCCCTTCTTTTTTACTGAAAATCAAATTTGGGAGATGCAGTCTGAAACTGAATGAAACTGCTTCCCTTTCCAACCTCCAAAACTTTACTTACCATATCTTTTCATGGTCAAAAATTACACACCAAATAATTTCCATCCTGGCAAGTCAAATGTTATATCTCCACACACTGCTGATTTCCCGACCTATTTGGTCTAAAGAATCCTAACTCTTTGGAACCTAACTGAACAGTAATATGGGTTGCATAGGCAAGGACTTTGTGCATGCTGTTTCATAGCTCATCACAGAATCATAGAATCATAGAATCACAGAACTGTAGAATGGCCTGGACTAAAAAGGACCTCAAAGATCATCTCATTTCAACCCCCCTGCCATTGGCAGGGTCACCAACCACTAGAAAGGCTCAGAAAGGCTCTTTTCTATCCCACTCGTTCACCTGTTAAGCTGCTAAAGTGACATGATTGCATGACAGCCATCAGTAATCTCAGTTTTAGTCATGTTCAAGTTAATCCGCACTTACTGTACACAGTGCTGCAAAGAACTCAGAAGTGCAGCTGTTCATCACCAAATCTGGAAAAGCCATTATGAAACAGGAAGGAAACCCACCCACACCCACCACTCCTACTAAGGTTGATTATCTGACACGGTGCTTAAATAATAACATAGCAATGGTATCATGGCCCAAAGGGAAGAATATTAAGAATGCTTTGATCGGCTTCTCTTACAAAGCAGGAAGGTACTCCTTAGGAATTTCCATGAATTGATGTCCTCTCGTTCTCTGCAACTCAGCAGCTCAACAGTCTGCTTCTCCTTTTGAAGTGCAATCATTGCAGCTTTAAAAAAGTATTTGATGACAACAAGAATTTCATCCTCTTTGCAGAATAAGTATGAAGGTTGTTATAAGAGGGATTGTTATCTGTAAATACATCAGGAGTAAACACCAGAAAGGGAAAAGGACTGTTTCTATTAAAGGAGTGTGATGGCACAAGAACCAATGGGTACAAACTCACCATGAAAGGAAGGTGAAAATCTGAAAGGAAATTAGAAGGTCACAAAGATCAGATCCTCATTAGAGCAATAAGGATCCAAAATAATCCTCTTCCAAAAGTACTCGGGAAAAATCACAGAATTATTTCAATGTGATATTTACATACTTATGACAGGGTTGACAAAATTTCTAGTATAAAACTAAGATTGCTGGGCCTTGTTATAAGTAACTTTAGAAGGTATCCTCTACGAACAGAAAAACTAATAGTAAGGCTCAGCCCTGTGTGATATTAGCAGAGAAATGGTATTAACTGACTTCCAAGTCCAAAAACATCAGGGAAAAGGAAAGTTCCCTAGAAAGTTTTCCAGTGGAGTAATATTAACATTTATAGATATGTTTTCTGTAAAGTACATATGTAGGAGATTATTCTGTTAACGTCTGTGTCTCAAAGCTTGCTGGGGACAGAGATGGACTTGTTCAAGTCCAGGGACTTGTGAAATCCTTTGTCTGGGGGATGCAGATAGACAAGGCCAGGGGCAATGAGAGCGAGATGAGCTGCAGCTAAATAGCTGAGAAGTGCTCCTTTGTGTGGACTTACCTCAGGACGACTGCCATCTCAGGGGGTACTCAATGACTCTTGCTCAAGGCCCATCCTTGTCACATAGGCAGGAGAACAAGGAGGATAAAAAGAGGAACCGAAAACCATGAGGAGAGGTTTCTGGCAACAGATTCCTCATGAAGAACAACATAGGATTCCTGACTATCAGACTCCTCACGAAGTGACACCTGCATGCTGACAGACTCTCCTGTGCCTGCTGCCTGCACGCTGCTGCTTCCTCAAGGATTGGCTCCGCGACTGCCTCGGCTACCTGCTTGCTGCCCAAGACCGGCCACGCTGCTGCTCCCTGCCCCCCGCTGTGTCTGCCTCGGACCTTCAAAACGCCGTGCAACGGGACCGCTGCTGGATCCTGCTGGTGACTATCCCCTATTTACGCAATTCTTGCTGCTTTCCTATCTCTTCTATCACCCTCCTTCCCTTCCCCGTCTCCCTGATTAGGTTTTGTAATAAACTGGTCGGACCAACATATGAACCGTTGTTTCTTAATCTCACGCCAGGTATACAGATATTAAAAGAACCTCATCTCCCTCCTATAAATTGGAGCGGGACAACATAATGCTCTGTGTTGTTAACCTCTGTACTGGGAACAGCCAAAAACACAGAAATGCAGCAAGAAAATGCATGTATTTACAGCTCAATTTATGAAGTCAGAAGAATGACAACATCCCCCCCCCCCCCCATTTCTATACTCAAAGTAGCTAAAAAGTACTAAATCAAAGTAGCCACCCATATTTAAAACACAGCAAAAGTCTTAGATGCTGTACAAGCAGAATGATAGCAGATTGTACCAGTGAGCTAAATACGTTTGCTGTGGTTTTGTTCTTTTAAAAAAATATATATGAAATTAGCAACAAGTAATGGAATCTTGCAGCACATCAGCCTAACAATCCTTATCCACTACCCTGCTTGCACTTCCACTGTCAAGCTGAACTTACTTGAAACACATAAGGGCCAAAAGATTCTTCCTTCTGCCAGTCTACCTCCAGCACTGCAATGTAAAGCTCTCTTGATTACCAAGTGCACCTCTGTCTATTTACACAAGGGTTTAAGCTTGTGACATTTACCTTCATTCATAAAAAAAATACTGTGATAAGTTCACTTGCAAAGATAAATGTTGTATCAAAACCAAAGCCTTGGCATCAGTAGGATTACATAATATGCATCCCTTTCTGCTGTGTTTTTAGCTTTCTTCCCCTTAGGCTGTTTTTTTCTCTGATTTTACCCTCCTCCTCGTTGCCTTAGTTGCAAAGAGAAGATGTGTAGGGGGTGGGGGGACTTTGGAGCTGCAGCACAGGTGTCTTCCTACACTCCAAGAACCATGCACCCGGGGACTTGCTGCCACTGCACTGAAAGCTATGGGGCAGCATCAATGAGCCCCATAAATGAAATTCATTCAGAGTCAAAACATAGCAACTGTCTTCATGTGCCCTAATAGATGAGGGGACTCAGATCTTTATCATGTCTTGTCACTTAAGCATCTTCTGGTGGTCTGTGATGCATTTATCCACCTTCTGACAGAGACCATCACATAAACACGAAGCAGCTGTAAGAGGATATTTCTACATGGAAGAAGTACTCACAACCTTTTACGAAAAAATGTTTTCAGACTTTAATGCACAATTCTGTTTCTCCCTTTAAGGACATCTTACATAACAAAACACAAGAATTAAAGAAATTCATAAAGAGCTTCTGTCATTCTCCATGAAATCAGTCAAGTCTTCAGGCAATTTCTACAAGGCTTCACTTATTTATTCATTCTTGAATCTCAGATATATCTTCTCTTTTCTTATTAATATCTGTTCTCGAGTATTAGCAATACAGAGTAAAACAGCAGAAGTCAAGCGGTTGATGTGATTAATCTCAGGTTAACTGAGCACTCCTTTGCTTTTCTGATTACAAAACTGAAGACAGGCAGAGTACACATTGCTTTAGCTTTTACGCAGTGTGGTTACCACACAAATTTGTTTAACAGTGCCAAATTATAGTGTCATCAATGCCGGTCTAGAGCTGATAAAGCATTTTCTCATCTGACAGTATAATTATCGGTTGCCTCTTCCTACTTGAGGAAGTCTGGCTTTTCTGAAAAAGCTTTAAAAATCCTGGCTAACTGTGGTCATATGGAAGTCAGAAGTGAAACACCATCTAGTCTGTGTTCAGAAAACTGGATCCAAGGTGCTGTGTATATAGATACATACCAAGGTACATGCTCGCAGTCAGGACATACAGAACTTTTGAAAGATCAAAAATAAAAAAGCTTCTCCTCAAATGCAGTCTTCAAAAATGAAGGCTATTTTTGCTTTTTTATAGAGCTCATTTCATCATATACAACCCATAGACTATATGACTTTAAAAAAAATCTAGTCTATTTCCTAAGTACATTTCTTTGCACCTCCTTTTGCGTTCTGCTAATATATACTTTTTAAATTTCTTCCTGTGCAGCTTTTCCCACAAACCTGGACTACAGAGCCTGTCTCTAACTGCGCCTTTAGTAAAAGTATAATTGAGAGCCTCTACTTTAACCGCAAAACATATTTAACTTTATAATCCACATTATGAATTTCACAAGAAATCACCAGATCTTTAATTTTAACAAAACTATGCAATCAAAGTTGCCTTAACCCTTCATTAAATAACTATTCTGGCTTTTAGTTACTGTTACTGCAATTTTTATCCTGGGAAGGTTTTAAAATATTTTTTGGTTTAATGCCTCTGGCTGCATGCAAATCCACCGTGCACCTTTCCCACCATGGCAAAGTGAGAAACACTTCCAGCCCTCGGCAGGCAAAGCCATTCTGCTGCACAGCACTCAGTAGAGAAGGACATGAATCATAACCACAAATGCACACTAAGAGCAACCCTCCGTAAAACTAAGTTTCCTTCCTTGCACTAATTAAATGACTTTGCAGGTAAATACCAATAATATTGAATAAAACTCTTCCAAATCAAAACCAAATCTTTGCAGTGAATAGAAGTTAAAACTGTAAAGACTACTACTCAGAACCTAGGGAAAGCCAGA